TATTGGGTGTACAACTTAATTCGGTCCGTTTTTTTGCTTGAAAAACGCATTTATTTGAATGATAAAATGAATTAATACATTATTGAAAGTATTGTCCATCGCTAGCCACTACTTTTTCCCATCTTTCTGGCAATTTATGGATTCCGTCGCGGAAGAAGCGTTTATCTTTTGAAGCCAAGAATGAATCGAGTCAATTTTTTATACCCTGTTCTGAAGTGAAGTATATTCCAGTCAAAGCGTTCTGCATTGATCGAAACAAATGGTAGTGGGAAGGGGCAAGGTCTGGGCTATAAGGCGGGTGAGCCAGAACTTCCCATCCGCTATTTTCCAAATAGTTTTTAACCGGAACAGCAACATGAGGCCGAGCGTTGTCATGGTGAAAGATTATGGACTCGTGTCTGGTCGCATATTCTGGACGTTTTTCGGCTATAGCTCGCTTTAAACGAATCAATTGTCGCCTGTAGAAGTCTCCCGTGATGGTTTGACCAGGTTTTAGCAACTCATAGTGGATCACACCTTTCTGATCCCACCAAATACAGAGCATTATCTTGGCATGAATATTCGGCTTCGGCGTTGATGTTCCCGGTTGGCCGGGCTTTACATACGATTTTTTGCGTTTCGGGTTGTCGTAGTGAATCCATTTTTCGTCCCCGGTAATGATTCGATGCAGAAAAGACTTCTTTTTGTACCGTTCAAGCAACATTTCGGACATGCAAAATCGTCGTTCGATATCTCTCGGTTTCAATTCGTATGGGACCCAATTTCCTTGCTTTTGGATGTATCCCGCGGCTTTGAGTCGTTTCGAAATAGCTTGTTGAGTAACTTCCAATGTTCTTGCGAGCTCTTTTTGCGTTTGACACGAATCTTGATCGAGTAATGTTTCTAATTCTTCATCTTCAAACTTTTTCGGTTGACCCGAACGCTCTTTGTCTTCAACACTAAAATCACCACTTTGAAATCGTCGAAACCATTCTCTGCAAGATTTATCCGACGGTGCAGATTCACCATAAACTTCCACAAGCATTCGATGCGCTTCAACTGCACTTTTCTTCCAATTGAAACAGAAAATCAATACTTCCCGCAAATGGTGCTTATTTGGAACGAAACTCGACATTTTCAACGCAGTAAAAATTAAACTTGTTGTGCAAAACTCAAAGGCTTGTAAACAATATTTGGTTGACAGATGTTGACACTTCACGATACAGCAAAAATCAGCTGTCGCCGTCAACCATTTATAGCACCTAGAGCCATCTTTTAAAAACGGACCGAACTAAGTTGTACATCCAATACAAATATATATTATGCCAAAAATTGGAAATTTGCAATAAATGATGATATGTTATATTATTATTAATATTGTTTCATTTTATTTATATATTATATTTCTATAATTTCGATTTTTTCAGAGATAAGAAAATTAAATTATTATAAGTATGAAATTAATTAAATACCATGAACTATTTTGTATGCTGAATCAAAATCAATATTTAAAAATCCAGTAGGATGAGAAAGGAAACGTGTTAAATCAAGTTATGAGTTGTAAATCAAGTGTAAATCAAGAACTAATAACTAATTTTTTTTTATTTTAGACACAATGCAACTTTTGCAAACACATTCCGCGCCAGGACATAAAAACCTGCGTATTTTTACGCGAAATGAATCGAGTTTCGTCCCTAGGAAGGTGCTCATTGTGACGAAACTGTCTCGATACCACTTCGAAAAAATGCAGAAACCCGAGCTTAACGAGAACCAGCTAAAGTTGCGGCTGATGGAAAGGGGCTACGATTACAATGCCATGATCGCGAGTCACATGGCTACTAAGGCTGTGGAAAGTCAAGTGACTGAAGTCTTGCGGCAGATGAATGTGGAATATAAGATAGTAAATAGGTAAAATATATGAAAAGAGAGTATGAGAGCGCAACTCATAAGCTGTTCGACATATTCTGTAATCTTGTGAAAAATTGTTACATGTTCGTGAAATAATCGTGTTGTGTCATTTCTAGAACGAATCTAGATCAATCGCTCTTTACATGGGCGGATTTGATACTGCCGATCGGCGGCGACGGAACATTTCTCTTGGCTTCAAACTTGATATTTAACAATAATAAACCCATAATGGGTATCAATTCGTATCCCGATAAGTCGGAGGGTTACCTCATGTTGTCTGCAAAATACACAAGAAATATACCAGAGATTTTTAAAATGTTAAAAATAGGACATTACGATACACTCATGCGACGGAGAATTCGCATCACTTTGATGGGAAAGGAGATTTGGGCAGAACCTTTTCACTTGCACGAGAAAGGGCGCATTGTAGGTGCTGATAAGTATGTCGCATTAAAATATACATATTTTTTATCTACTTTACATAACTTTCAATATAATTCTAAAAATTGTCATTATTTAATATATATTACATAAGATGAATATGATACATAATATTTCATAAGATGAATAAGTATGACTCTCACATAGCATTAAGATCAATGTTATTATTATTAAAATATTGCTATTAAAAAATATAATGTTTGACTGAATTAAAGTTTTTTGCATGGGAATATAATATTCTAGTAATCTTCTCTATTGAAAAGCACACAGCGTGTTAATATTACTAAAATGTTAGCTTAACTCTTAAAGTTACTGTAGGCGTATATATTTAATAAGTGAAAACCGTCATTGTACCCTGCAGGGATATAAAATAGGAGTGATTAGATGAGCATCGGTCATACGTTCGGAATCAGCTCCGTGCTGTTCCGTACTTTACAGATTAAAGTAAAGTTATATTTTACTACATATCGAAATCATATTAATTTAACTATAAGGCAACCTTGAATAAACCAAGACAATCTTGTAATTATATAAATGTTGAGGTTTAAGGTTTATTAAAAGTCTTGGAAAATAACATTTTAAGATAATAATAACCATCCTTATAGCAACATAATTAAAAACTTCATAAGTTTAATGTTGGTGTAACATTTTTGTGCTATGCGGGTTAACGATAAATATTTGTAGAATGAATAAATATATTAACAATATTAACGATAAACATTCATAAGTTGATAAAAATATTCATTGATATATATATTATATATTTTGATATCATATTGATATCATATCATTTGATATTTGTTGTAGAGTTTTTGCAGAATGGAAATTCGAAAATTACGATCGCAACAAACTACCGCAAGAAAGACGTCTACCATGGTTGGCGCTTAATGAAGTAAGTTTAATAATGCTCATTGATGCAAAAATGCATCTTGCACATTGAATAATACGACTAGCTCTCTTACGTATCTCAGGCCTACTTTGCATTGCTAGGTTTTTATGGGTGAAACATTATCGGCAAGGACGAGTTCTCTGCTTGTAAAGTTGGATGAAGAAGAGAAGTATCACAAGGTGAAAGGTTCCGGCTTATGCGTGAGCACCGGTACAGGATCCACATCTTGGTATCGGTCTATGCACAGCCTGAGTCACCAAACAGTGCGCGAAATATTAAAGCTCGCGGACAGTGGACGACAATTCAATAACGACGAAGTTGACAAAATCTGCACGACTTTCAATAGCGGCCTACGATTTGACGCTGGTTAGTAGACGTTTACCAGAATTGTATCGTCTATTTCAAGATTACGTTTGTGTGGATTATTACTAGCATCAATCATGCCATATAACATCAAAGTTAATGTTATTATCACTAAATTATTACTATAATCTCAGTAGATTTTCTCTATTAGAGATCAGCACGTTAAAACATCAGTCACCCAGTTAAAACGTTAACTCAAGATCGTAAGGCAGTCATATTTTGATATTGAAATTACATTAATTTACACAAGACAATCTCTTGAATTAAGCAAGAAAATTTTATATTAATATCCGGATTTAATGTTTATTAAAAGTTCTAATAAATAATATTTTCAAGTTATAATAACATCACTACCATCTTTAGCAACATAATTAAAAACTTCTGAACTTTATATTAGTGTAATATTTTTTGTTATATGGGATGTATTGTCTACGTGATGTACATACATAATCTTTTTCTTTCATGTAAATAATGGGAACTATCTGAAGTATTATAAATTATATAAAAATATACAATGAAAAAATATAATGAAATTATGATAATTATACAATATTTATTTTGTATATTAATTATAAATGTAATGTTAAAATTTAATAATTTATAATTTAAAGTAAAAATTAAATGAAATTTTTATTTCATTATTTTCATTAAAATTAAATATATTTAATATATTGTTATATTTAATTTTGAAAATAATAATGTCACCAGAGAATTCTGTGAGCTCTAACTTGTTTAAAATACAATATCTATAAATTTATGTCAAGATTCTAAAGATTAAAAATATAAACTTTTCTTAATTATTTTTTTAGCTAGAGTCATACGTTCTTTAAACGACATTCATAAATCATTCATTGTCTATATAGATAATATCTCATATACAAGGTGTCTGATTCGTGCCGTATCGGAACTAATATACAGGGTGGGCAAAAATTGTGGAAACGGTCGAATATCTCGAAAAAAGGCATTTTTTAGGAAAATGTTTTAGATAAAAGTTGGGTTTCAGAAGATCTATTTAATGGTCGTATCAGTTTTGACCTTGGGTAGCATCGTCAAGATCAGGTCAAAGTCACGTCGATTTTTTTAAATGGAAATCCCCATTTTTTATTGCATATTCTCGTAGTTTACTTCGAGAGCTTTTCAAAAAACTATAATAAAGTTATTTTTCTTTAAGTACTTTACGAGTTATAAGGCTTGAAATTTACAATACCACCGACATTTCCCTATGTTTAGCATTACCCAGGATGAACGACGTGGACGTGGCGGGGCTCTCATGTTTTGTGATATTATTATAGTGTTTTGAAAATCTCTCAATGTAAGTTACGAGAATATACAATAAAAATGGGGATTTCCACTTAAAAAAATCGACGTGACCTTGACTTGACCTTGATGATGTCCAAAATCAAAACTGATACAGCCATTAAATAGATCTTCTAAAACCCTACAACTTTTGTCTGAAACATTTTCCTAAAAAATGCTTTTCTTCGAGACATTTGACCGTTTCCATAATTTTTGCACACCCTGTATAGCTAGAATAAATCGGAGTAAGTAATGGAATCGGTATCTTTTTTTAAACAACTACGTAAAAAAATGTTATGGTATTAACGATAGAAAATTTCTACCGAGCAGCAGCCCACTTACCAATCAGCACACGCGCTGCGGTGAGACGAACGCTATACGTACTATCGCCTGGGCATGAGAGGCTAGCCGGGCCTAGAGACCCTAGATATAAGAGACTGGCCAAGGCTGGTTCAAGTTTTGATTAGTTAGATACATATGCGAAAGAAAGCACGAAACAGAAAACACAAGTAAATAAATATTTTAGCAGTATTTTTATTCAATAAATGTTAATTTCCAAGAACTATTGACATAAACACATAACACATTCACATAACACATAACACATTCGCACAATAAGATATAGAAATATAACAATATATATACATAACACATGTATACAGGGTGAGTCATTTTAGTCTATGGATCCGAATATCTTCCAA